GGATTTTGCTTATATCACTTGCTTCATTACCCCTCTTTTGGCCCCTATTCTTGCATGCCATTTTTCCCATACCTATGCTTGCTGTTTGGCCATGTTTATAACTGGAAAGTGCATTTTTTGGGACTGTCTAGCTTCTGTCTTTGCATTGCATGTCCATGTTGTGCATGTTTGGCATAGCTATAGGCCATTTCGGGTGCCCAAATTCGCATTTCGGAGACAATTCCTTGCATTTGGTATCATTTCGCTTCATTTCGGACTGTTTCCCCCATATTTTGTTGCTGAAATTCTGTTAGAATGATTTCCATTGTTTCATTTCCATGTCATTTCATTGCATTCCGCCATCGCCTCGGTTTGCGTGCCCGTGTGCACGCATTTCGAGGCACTTCATTTTTATCCGACAGCATCCTATGTGAGTGTGGCTGAGGCTCACTCATGTTGGTATAAAGCCCATTTGTCATTTCCATGTCATTTCATTGCATTCCGCCATCGCCTCGGTTTGCGTGCCCGTGTGCACGCATTTCGAGGCACTTCATTTTTATCCGACGGCATCCTATGGTGAGTGTGGCTGAGGCTCACTCATGTGGTATAAGCCCATTTGTCATTTCCATGTCATTCATTGCATTCCGCCATCGCCTCGGTTTGCTGTGCCCGTGTGCACGCATTTCGAGGCACTTCATTTTTATCCGCCGGCATCCTATATGGGTTGTGGCTGAGGCTCATCATGTTGGTATAAGCCCATATCATGTTTTCATATCATTTCATCACATTTTGCCACCGCCTCGGTTTGCGTGCCCGTGTGCGCGCATTTCGAGGCACTTCTTTTTTATCCGACGACATCCTATGTGAGTGTGGCTGAGGCTCGCTCATGTTGGTAAAGCCCATATCATGTTTCCATGTCATTTGCATTGCGTAACGCCATTGCCTTCGGTTTGCGTGCCCGTGTGCACGCATTTCGAGGCACTTCATTTTCATCAACCGGCTTTTATGTGAGTGTGGTTGAGGTTCCCTCATGTTAGTATAAAGTCCATGTTATGTTTTCCATGCCATTTTAGTCATTTTCATAGCATTTTACCATTCCTCAGTTTTGCGTGCCCGTGTGCACGCATTTTCGAGACATCTCATTTTCATTGCATTTACCATTGCCTCGGTTTGCGTGCCCGTGTGCACGCATTTCGAGACATCTCATTTTCATTGCTTTACCATGCCTCAATTTGCGTGCCCGTGTGCACGCATTTCGAGGCACCTCATTTTCATCACATTTTTCCATTGCCTCGGTTTGCATGCCCGTGTACACGTATTTCGAGGCATCTAGGTTTGCGTGCCCGTGTGCACGCATTTCGAGGCATTTCATTTCCATAGCATTGTATATGTTAGGATTGTATCTTAGTTACATTTCACGCATATCATGCATATTGCATCATGTCCGGAATAAGAGTAGCCCGGGCACGGGAAACGAGGTGCATTTCGTACTCCGAGTGACGGAATGTGTCTCAATTCCCCAGTCACCAACACTCCGGATTATCCATGATGGAGTTAGGTTTTAGCTGTAGTTTCATGTGCATTCATTCTATATTGAGTTGTGCATTTCGACTCCTCGCCATCATGCCTCTGGTATGCGTGATTGGTGGCACGAGGATCGAGACATGCATATATCTGTGCAATAACATTGCTATGCCCCTTTCCGCTCTCTGTTGCAGCAAAATCAGGAATCGCAAACTTTCCGGGACTTGGCATGCATTTCAAGAACAGGTGTAAACAGAGGCTATTGGGGCATTCCGGTGGATTTTCGCGCAAGACAACCCGGACATGCATCCATCCATCAGAAGCAAGGCAGTCCCTGCTTGCACGCCAGTTTTTTGCTTTCTTAGTTAATTCATTAATTAATTAGGATTCTGTAATATTTTGGACTGTAATATTTCTTTTATTTGGGACTGTAATATTTGACTGTATTATTTATTCGGACCCTCTGCGCGAGGACATAACTGTAATATAGTGTGCGTGTGTGCGTTGTATGTCTTCCAACCCCACGCTTTTCTGCCCTTTTATTTATCCGCTTTGATGGTTAGATTAGGGCATGTTTAATTTAACATACAGTATGACAGCATGTTTGCATCATTCATCTGTATTGCATGCACCGGGCTCGGCGCATCATACTAACTGCATGTGTATTTTCGATTTCAAAGTTGAATACATGATAGTTATAGCATTTCATATGCCATTTTAGAATAGCCGAGCTGTTATAGTTTGCATTTTGCATGTGTTGCACTAAGCATTTTTTGTATACTTAGGATCATGCATGATTTCTAATGTGGTTTCTATTTTGGCTTGGAGTACTCGGTGAGTTTTATGCTTTAGCATCCTTGCATGCGTGTGAGTGTTGCCATGAATAGCATGCTTACCATGAGGCTATGTGCTTATGTGATATAACTGCCTGAATGCCTGTGGGTGAAAGGTTGGGTTATCTGAATTGGAATAAATCATCAAATGTTTCAAGCCTACCTTGCGGTAGCAAACCATTTTCAAAAACAAGCATGAAGATGTTTTGTTCAACTCTGGCGACCCGGGTCTATACTTATATGCTGTGTGCATCACATAGTAACCTAGGCTAATAAACCGGAATAAGAACTCACAATGTTTTCAAAAATTGATATCATGGTTAGTAGAGGCCGGTCTATGATCGGGCGAGCGGGGGTGCTCACGAAGTGACCTTCCCCAATCGTACCCAAGTTCCCGAGCCGAGGCAATCTTTGGTGATGACGGACACGTGGCCTTTTGGCACCGAGTCAGGGTTTCCTAAATTTCCCAAAATAAAATATTTAGGTGGCGACTCTGTATCTGGCAAAGCAGTCCATGTTTGGCACTACTTTTTCAAAAATCAGTTTCTCAAAATGATTTGCCGGATTTGGACTCTTTGGTTCAGATTAGGAACCGTGACATTCAAGAGTCCGAGCTGTAGTGACCCCAAATGAACAGAACGGGAGCTAACCCTCCCGAGGCGTTCGGGGACGTCTACACACAGCTATGTCAAGTGTTATCCTTCCTAGCCGAGATCATTGAGACCTTACTTTCCGAAGCTTATGTCTCGATCCGAGGTCATTGCCTTGTTAGAGTTCTAATGTCAACTTACTTGTTGTATGCACTTTGTCATGCTCTTGTCTTGTCAGTCAGTCACCTTTTTGAGGAGAGCCAACCAGCTATTGCCACGTGTCTCAGTAGAGGGTTAAGTCAGCCAGCAGTAGAGAAAGCACATCATTTTGTCATATCCTTGCCTTTGAAGAGAGAGAAGCTCTAGGAAGAGGAAGAGAAGTTCTTAGAGTGAGAGAGCTAGAATCCAAGCTTGATCCTTAGAGTTTGAACCGTTGGATTCGTGTTTTGAGGTTAGATTCTTGATCTACTCTTGTTGTTCTTTATGTTAATCCAATCACATTGCATGATCTAGAGCGATTCATGAGCCATGCATTGATTTAAAGTTTGTTTTAGAAAGAGAAAATGATGTTCTTGTGTTCTTGAAGAAAAACCATGTTTTGATCCGAAAGTTTGTAACAAGTTCCATCTTTTTTTGTTTGTTTTCATAAGATCTTCAAGCATGGGTACCCAGGTCCATGTTTTCGAACTCATCTAATGAAATTTCAGATTTTGAATAAAGAAGTTGTGATTTTAGCATTCATGTTCTTCAAAAAGAAACCCAGATTTCCAGACTCCATTTCCTTGATTGTGGTCATCGGGACCACACCTCGGCCAAGAGGTGTGGGGCCTCGACCAAGACCTGATTGGTACCCAACATGTTTTCCCGAGATGAGAAATAGTGTTTTAACTCCCAGCACGTGTTTTGCTTTGTCTTGACTTAGTTTTGAAAAAATGCCGAGTTCATTTACACTCATGAAAAGCTTGTTTTACGAATGCATTTCATACCCATCTTTGAGCATCTCTTCTTGTCTTCTTGAAGTGCATTCAGTGGACTTTGCCATGTACTTGTAGGTCTTGGATTCTTGCCTTAATCCCTACACCCAAAGAGCTATGGGAGTAGTATTTTTAATAAAGCTATGTTATAAAGTTTTGATAAAGCTTTGCTTCGTTTTGGAAAAGTGTTTGTTCAAGTATGAATGATTATCCCTAGTTTTGTATCAAGTATTTTCTTGTTTTGATGACATTCTTGGAAAGTCCTTAGTGATAGGGGACTATAATGCAACTAGTACCCTTGTTTGAGATATCTCCCATGCCACGGCCTTGTGCAGATGGGTTTGTCTAATCGATTCCGGGTCGATTATTCCCTTGTGTTGTCAGGAATGTCATCCCTTGTATTATGTAGATGCTAGTAAGCATCCCTTGAAGCTTTGAAAGACTTGATAGATGAACTTGATTCTTCCCTTGATTTTGTACAAACTATGATATGTATTGTTTTAATAAAGATCTCGGATATCATTCATTCAAACCTTTATTACTAATATCATTCACTGAGTATCCAAGCTCACCCTCTCCTTATATATTTGTAGGTGACGAGCAAGAAGGCGGTGACGCCTAGATGTGTTTTGCAAGATGTTTTGGATTCATGTTTCGCTAGCATCTTGAAGATTATGCTTTTTAGCTCTGCATTACATGTCTTTTGTATATGTCGACTTGAGAAGCCTTTTGATCAAGGTGTAATATGTACTTTATTTTATTTGTATCCAAGTTGGAAAACCATGTTAAGATGTATGTCATTTCATTTGATCTATGCACAGCTCTTATGGACTACCTAGATTTATATATATATATATATATTGGTTCCGCACATATAGGCCCCATATGTATACTCTGATTGTGTGTGAATTTTTGTAAGTTGACCTTTGGTAACCTCGAATTACTAGCCATTACGGCACCATTCTACTAGGGGCGGAATGGGGTCGTGACAGATGAGGAGGCAAAGAATGATATGCTCAGTAAGTGTGGGCCAATCAGAATAAAGAACCATAAATGGAGTTCAGTCTCAAATTTTAAAATGGGTAGCTTGGATGTAATACCTTGGACTAATCCTCCAAGCGACAAGACAGACAACTATGAAAAGGTGATCAGTCGGCACACGGTAACAAGAAACTGAATCCTGAATTTTCATGAATAAGCTGTGGTGGATCTATGTCCGAAATGTCAATTTGATCCATTGATTTTGAGATGTCATCAACTGAAAATGGAATGTTGTACCATGAATGATGGGCAAAATATCAATGGCCAACAGCACAAAAATATGGCCTTCAGTGAAGTGATGAAAATGCTACAAATTTTAAAGATAACAAAAAAGAAAAGTGCACACACACACACACACACACACTCATATGATTTAATCTATCTTTAACCTTGAATCGTCATCCAGCAAAATAGAATTGCTGACAGCATTGTTTGAATCTTCAGTCATCAGCACCCTCATGTTGGATATTACCTGTCAATCAAAATATCACATAGCAGAAGTCACCCTAGTCAGTAACACTTTTAAGGCTCTTTTCGATCCATCAACAGCATTTAAAATGAAAGAAGTCTATGCCAGATTATAGTGGTAGAAATGTTGACCCTTTTTATCCAAGCAAATCACCAACACATAAAATGAAATGAATATGCATTGTTGGAAATAAAAGGCTATAACAAACACCTTAAAACAACTTGGAAGAAAATTGGGGAAGAACTTTCACTCATATTTCTCTCATTACATTCTCATTCCACCAATAGATAGATTACATGGTTGTATATAATATCCTAAAACTAAGGCTAAGTTTGGGGACTTCAAAAAAAGTCAAAAAGCCAAAAAGTTACTCAAAAAGTTAAAAAGTTAACACTATTCATCAAAAGTCAACAATTACGGCTGCACAACTCCCAATTCAAATTTTTCCCTACAAATCAATTTTTACAATTTTTTATTACACAATTTTCAATAAAAAGTCAAAAAGTTAACCCAAATATCTATATTTTCAACCTCAATTTTTTAGTCCAAAAAGACAAAAAGTACACTTTTTTAGTCTTCCCAAACTTGGCCTAACTCTTGAAAATCTACCATTAAGACAATACTAAGACCTACTTACTCCAATAATTTGTGACAACCACATCACTGATGCCCATTAATGTATCACTAATGTCTTAACACATTGACTCTAGTGGGAGCCACATTGACTCTTTGACCTATAGCCCCATTCCCATTATTTCTGATAGTTGAAATTAGGGGTGTGCGCGGTACGGGTCGGTGCGGTTTGAGAGAAAAATAGAAACCGTATGGCGGGTGGCGGATTGATAAAAGTGTCACTAGAATTTGTCATTTTTCTTACCAAAAACCGGCGGTTCGATTGGCAAATAATAACGAATTTGCCTTTGCGGTGCGGTTCGGTGCGGTTTTGGCAGTTTCGGCGGTTTCAGCGGTATTATGCACACCCCTAGTTGAAATAATTATCACATCCTCCTCACCACCTTGAATCCCATCAGCTGAGCGAACACTCACAAAGAAGCCACTCTCTGCATCTGTACTGTATGTTGTTCCAAGTTTCTCTTGAATTGCAATAGCCTAAGCATTTTATGGTGATATCACACCAATTCTAACCCTCTGTTTTAAGGCAATGGATTTTATAATGAGACAAATAAATAGTCAGTTCTGCAATTCAATGGTAAAAAAGAAGAACACTTAGGAAAAATGTCTTTGTTTGCTATTTCTTTGATTTTTCCCCAAAATCAAACTAAACTAACCCAACCCAAAAAACCAAAGGTAGACTCATTTTAATTGAACCCATATAATGAAACACCAATACTCAAAATTTCTGTAGTTTGATTAATTTTTCCTGCATTTTCTTGGCACCCAAACAGAAATAACAATCAATATAAAATGAGGAAATCTTCTTACCTTCATCTGGCAACTTTGAGTCGAAAAATCTCAATGACCATAAGCATCAACAATCGATGATTTAACAAAAAAGCATATGAATGTGGATATATATATATACACGGTACCTTTTCGATGAGAGTAACGATGATGGTTCAGGTAATGGCCTTTTCGGCATTATCAGAGTAACCTTAAGCACAAGCCTCTCGTCTGGTGAGATCTTCACCGATGGTTAGTTTCTGTGGAGCCTGGATCTGAAGCCGCCATGGTTGAGATCGCTTCGTGTTACAGATCTCTGCGTGACAATGGCTTTCGCACCCTGGATGAGATGAAGAGGAAGACGAAACGCGATAGAGGTGGCGGGGGAGGGAGATTGAGGACGACGGTAGTGACGATGGAGGGCGCACAACGCACAGCTATCGTCCATTCTCTCTCTATCTCTCTATCTCTCTCTCTCTCTCTCTCTCTATGTGTGTGTGTGTCTGTTCTCTGTCTAATCTGAAACATCAAAACACTAATCGAATCAAAATCAAACCCAAGGTTGAATTGAAGAAGACGGAGACATGACCTAGGGTTTTTACACAGCTATACAAATACACGATTATTATAAATTAAAAAAAAAAGAGAAGGTGAGAGGAGAGGCAAGGTGGTCGGTAGTTCGTCGAGAGAGAATGATGGCAAGAGGAGAGATGGTCGGTGGTCGGCGGCGTCCCGATGGCGGTGGTTGCAAGAGGAGAGAGATGAAAGAGAAGGGATAGATGAGAGGCAGAGGACACTGAGAGAGAGTAGCGTGTATATTTCTTTTTTTGGCGAAATGGCGCCAAAAATTTTTATTTTAGCGCCTTTATTTTTTTAACATACAATTCATGAGATGCATTGTGCGTCATAAAAAGACAATAGTTTTAACAGCTGGTGATATGTAAGTCGTAAAAAGTATAATATTATTAACGGCGAGCATTGTGTGCGTCATGAAAAATATTCACTTTTCACGGCTGGCGTATGTACATCGTATATAATTGATGTATTAACGACACACCATATGCACGTCGTAGAAAGTTTTATTATTTACGGCATGCATTGCAAGCCGTAAAAAAATCATCATTATTATCATTCACGGCCTACGCAATAGACACGTCGTGGTTGGAAAAGTATTTACGACGTGCAGAAAAAGTAAGTCATAAAAGTGAGAAACTACGACATGCATTTATTGTATGCCGTTGATGTGGTGTCGTAAAAAATCAGTTTTGTTGTAGTGGGCCTCTTTGTCAAGCCACCCAAGAGTGCCTCTATGTAGAGGCTTTGTCCTGTTTGTCTTGTCAAGCTTGGGATAATCTTTGTACTTGGTTAAAAGTCTTTCACGTATTGTGTGAGATATGATATAAAATACAGCAATGCTAGGTATCATGAAAAATCTTTCATGAAAATGGTCATGAAAGATTTGTGACCTTTGAATTACACTTACAATAAAGCACCACACAATAATCAAAGTAATCTAAGAGTCACAAATTTTTCATGACCCTTTTCATGACAAAACTTTCATGATCTCTAACATTTCTCTATAAAATATGGCTTCGTACATATATATATATGAAAGTGTGTTAAGAATGTTTTAATTACTACAGTTGATCATGTACGCACAAACTTTCATGATCTCTAACATTTCTCTATAAAATATGGCTTCGTACATATATATATATATATATATATATATGAAAGTGTGTTAAGAATGTTTTAATTACTACAGTTGATCATGTACGCACAGCTCGATGGACATCATCATTTTTGTTTTACTTCCGCTTCAGGCCCTGATAAAATTAAATAAATCTGCAATTTTGTCTTTGAGGCCATGGGTTATCTACGGATTACTGGCCGGTTACGCTACTAAACCTATAGGGGCGGGTTTGGGTCGTGACACTTTCTGTCCATAATTTCAAACGGGCATCAATTATTGGACGAAATTGAGACACTTTGTTAAATTGAGAAGCTAAATCGAGCAATTTGAAATGTCAAGGATCAAAATGATGCACGAGGTAAAGTTTAGGGACTAGTTGTGTAATTTGCCCATAAATTTTTTATTTTATTTTATTTTTGGATTAAAATTTGAGAGACAACTTAAAAGAAAGATCAATAATGTTAAGTAACATGAAAAGTCTCCATAAAGATTATCCTCCATTAGATTAGTTGTAGTGTTTTATTGTATGTTATGCCATCATCCTTAAATTAGTTTCACGAAACATAATTCAAGAAAAATTTAGGAAAAAAATAATGGTAATTAATGAATACTTTTCAATTTTGTTTCATTATATATGGCAACTAAATTCAGTAACTCAATTCAATTTGATATTTTTCAAAATATTAAAAGCCCAAATAAATTACTAAATAGAAAAATGATATATAAGTCTACTTTTAGATCCATTTTATAGTCTCAATGATGAGTAAGTGATATAATTAGTTAATGATTAGAGAAAATATGAGAGAAAGTGTTACTTTTAATATTTTAATTGATTGTCACATCATTAAATTTAAAAATTAAGTGTAATTTTTTTTTTAATATTAAATAGCATTGCTGTTTTTAAATATTCTATCAAATGTGTGGACCCATAGGGTCTATAGTGAGATACACCCATATTGTATACAATAATTACTAATTTATTTGAAATCTCTAGATTGTGTAATAAAATATGCAACAATGATATATCCCTCTAAAACTAGAGCTCTAATTGAGCTCTAGTGAGATGAAAAATCACAAAAAAAAAAAAACAAACAAAAACAAAACAAAACAAAAAAAGGTTAAAATATCACATCAGTGGTGCTCCAGAATTAGTAGTCTGTATGACCACTTATATGATAGAGAGTATTGCCTTTACTATCTTAATTGATTATCACATCATTGGGCTTAAAAATTAATTCTAATTTTATGTCTTTAATACTCTCTCTGTCCTAAAATATTAGTTCCTTATTCTATTTTTTATTGTCTCAAAATATTAATTTCTTTTCAAAAATCAAGAACTAAAATAATATGAATTACCTATTTTGTCTTTTTTTAAAATTCATTAGCAATACAAAAAGTATAATTATGACAATTGATATTCTTAAAAAAAATATACTATCAAAATACAATTTTAGAAAATTAATATTTTTAAAATGTAATAATTGTACTACTAAAAAAAATTGAATTCTCCAAAAAAAAAATTACTATTTTGAAACGAAGGAAGTAGTAATACTCTTTATTTATTTAATTAATTTTCTTTCAAAAACTGTAAATAGGTTCATTGTAAGCAAAAATAAGAGATGATTAATGTACCCATTCGATCATGTGTACTGTCAATGTGGGGCTCTGAATCACATTAAATTTCTTTCCATTCAATCTTTGTTCTCTGATTAATCTATGAACTGGTTTATATATATATATATATATAGTTCTTTTACAATCATCGATAACATTAAGCATTGTGAATTACTCATGGCAAGCATGGCTTTCATATTGATTCTGAGTCTCGTATGCATTTTCAATTCACACCCCACCATGGCTCAAACATCAGAAACTCCATTGACAGACCCAACCATTTTAGAGACCTACATCGTCCACGTAAACTCGCCCAAGGCCCGAGTTTTCTCCTCCGACGCTAATGATATCGAAAACTGGCACCAGTCATTTTTACCATCGTCGTCTCGCTTGGTTTATTCTTATCGAAACGTTATCACTGGTTTTGCAGCCAGACTGTCGCCAGAGGAGGCAAAAGCCATGGAAAAGATTGATGGGTTTGCGTCAGCTCAGCCCCAAAGAGTGTTGTCATTGCACACAACGCACAGTCCAAGTTTCTTGGGGTTGAACTTGCAGCAGAAATCAGGGGCTTGGGTGGGCTCAAACTACGGCAAGGGCGTGATCATTGGAGTTCTCGACAGCGGAGTTAATCCGAACCATCCCTCGTTTAACGACAAGGGAGTCCTGCCTCCGCCGGCGAAATGGAAAGGGAAGTGCGAGTTAAACGGGACGATGGCAGCGTGCAACAACAAACTCATCGGTGTGAGGACTTTCCAGTCCGATCCAGCCGAGGGCCCGCTTGACAATGACGGACATGGCACCCACACAGCGAGCACGGCTGCCGGGAATTTTGTGAGGAATGCAAGTGTGTTTGGACAAGCCAAAGGCACTGCGGCGGGGATGGCCCCACTTGCTCACTTGGCCATTTACAAAGTTTGTTCGGGAATTAGTTGTTTGGAATCTGACATTTTGGCGGGAATGGATGCTGCCATGGAGGACGGTGTCGATATTTTGTCTCTATCAATGGGCGCAGAATCGGTCCCTTTCTACCAGGACAATATTGCAAAGGGTGCGTTTTCCGCAATACAAAAAGGCATTCTTGTAAGTTGTTCAGCGGGTAATGATGGTCCTTTACATGGTACGTTATCAAATGAGGCTCCATGGATTCTAACTGTTGGCGCGAGCACCATAGATAGAAGCATAAGAGCCACGGCGGTGCTGGGAAACAAAGAGGAGTTTGACGGCGAGTTGCTTTCCCAGCCTAATAATTTCTCTTCTACTTTGTTGCCACTTTTTTATTCCAGCACCATCAATCCATTTTGTGACTTCGACAAGCCAATCTACGGCTTCAAAGGAAAGGTAGTGTTGTGTGATGGTGGCAGCTACACAGACAGCAACCTGAAAGGACAGTCGGTGTACACCGCTGGTGGGGTCGCCATGATAGTCACCAATGAAAAGAAAGACGGCTTTACTACGTTGGCCAACGCTCATTTCTTGCCAGCAACCGAAGTGAGTTATGCTGCTGGACTAAAGATCAAAGAGTACATAAAATCAACAACGACACCAACGGCTACAATTGTGTTTAAAGGAACCATCATAGGGGGTAATTCTGCTCCCATCGTGGGATCCTTCTCATCAAGAGGCCCGAGCTTGGCTAGTCCGGGCATCTTGAAACCAGATATCCTTGGCCCTGGTGTGAATATTCTTGCTGCCTGGCCTTCCTCTGTCGAAAACAAGAAGAATTCCAAATTGACATTTAATGTGATTTCAGGTACCTCAATGTCTTGTCCTCACCTCAGTGGCATTGCAGCCTTGTTTAAAAGCGTGCATCCTCGTTGGTCGCCTGCGGCTATCAAATCTGCAATCATGACTACGGCTGACCTGACAAACCTAGCTGGCAAGCCCATTGTCGACGAAAGGTTACTACCAGCTGACATATTTGCTACTGGTTCGGGTCATGTCAACCCATCAAGAGCCATCAATCCAGGACTTGTCTATGACCTTGAACCCAATGATTACATACCTTACTTGTGTGGTCTGAACTACACTGACCAAAACATCTATTTCATTACAAAACATAAAGTGAAGTGCTCAAAAGTATCCAAAATACCAGAAGCACAACTAAATTATCCTTCTTTTTCTATCACTCTTGGCTCTGGTGATGATCAGGCTTATACGAGAACTGTGACAAATGTTGGAGTGGCTAAGTCATCTTATGACTCAGTCATTGTTGCACCGCCGGGTGTTAAAGTGACTCTCAATACTACTAGGCTAGAGTTCTCGAAAGTGAACCAGAAAATAACATATCAAGTGACGTTTAGCCGGGTAGCCACCAACGGAGAGGCCTCTTTCATCCATGGATTTTTGACGTGGAAATCTAGTAACAACATACAATTTGTTAGAAGCCCAATATCTGTGAAGTTGGTGTGATGAAAATGAGGCAAAAGCTCAAGCTATTGAGTTGGAAAATCTTGGGATTTCAGTTACACAACACAAATTTACTTCTATATCATATTGTTGTGCTCTGAAATGTTTCAATTGCATATATTGTTTCAAAAAATTAATAAATCAGAATGACATGCATTGTTTTGAAAAACATGATTGCTCTAATGGATAAAATTGATAATCAGAACGACGTAGAATATTAGGTTTATCATTTTCGGATACCATAATTGAGTACAAAAATATTTCTGATATTTATTTAACTTCATGAAATTTAAATCACTAGATGATTATACATGATACTTTTTTTAAAAATTTTATATTAATAGTTTAAATTTATTTTTTCCGAAGTTTTGAAAGAAACTTTGCAAACAAAAGATTTTTTTAATATTTTATATTAGTAGTATAAATTTATTTTTTTTGAACTTTTCAAAGAAACTTAACAAACAAAAGAACACACTTCAATTGATGTATTGAATCAAGTTCCGGCTGAGATCAGCACCACAACACAACGCTACACATTCGAAAAAAATTACCTGAAAATAAAATATGCAATTTAAATTAATTAACCGTGGTTTTCGACCCCTCTGCTCCAAAGCTTCTGTCATTCACATGGTGTTCACAGCTGAAGACCCAAGAATCCTAACTACTTGATTGATTGTTCAAGTCTACTTCGACATTCTCACACCATTCAACAGTCTGGAACTTAATATCCTCTGTATCAAATAAAAATCGAAATATCAGAACACCAACATAATTCACCTGAATGATCTAATAGACACACACTGTTAACAGCAATAAGCATGAATAGTTGACCAAAAATTAGCTCGAACAACGTATAATTACCTAAATTCACGACATCAATTTGCAAATAAAAAAATCATAATCATGAAGGGGTATACACGGATCGGATTGATCCGGTTTTAAGTAAACGAGCAACCAAACCGATTCTTCCAATTTTAGAAAAATTGAAATTGTAACCTAACTAGAACTGAATTATAGAAACCGGATTGGTTCGGTTTGGTTTTACGCTTACCAATTTTACAATAATGGCTAATTTTCAATTCTTATAAAAATAATAAATAAATATGTTACGATCCGGTTTGGTTAGACCACTACAAGAATTTTCACTTTTGGCGACTAAATTTTTTGTCACCAAAAGTTAATTTTTAGTCGCTGAAAGGTTTTAGCGACTAAATTGTTTGGTCACAAAAGTAGTCGCCAAAAAATTGTTGGTAAAGGTAATTGGCGACTAAAATTATTTTAGTCGCCAAATGTATACAATTTCCAACTAAAATTCTAGTCGCCAAAAAGTTGGACATTAAATTAAATTAGACCCTTTTCGGCGACCAAACTTTTAGTCGCCTAAAGTCCCAAATTTTTAACAACTAAAATTTTAGTTTCTTCTTTTGGCTACTAAAAATTTAGTTGCCGAAAGTCTCACATCTTTGGCTATTAAATTTTTAGTTTAAAGAGTTTCTCTTTTGGCTACTAAATATTTGGTCGCATAAAGTTCTACATTTTTTGCTACTAAAATTTTAGTCGACAAAAGTGTTTTTATCCTTTAGGTTTTTATTTTTAGTTACGAAATATTTTAGTAACCAAATATTTGATTTTCTTTTGGTCACTAAACTTTTAGTCACTAAATATCTATTATTTCTTTTTTTTTGCTACTAAACCTTTAGTCGCCAAATGTATATATATATATATATATATGCTACAAAACTTTTAGTCGCCAAATTTTTTATTTTCTTTTGGCTACAAAACGTTTAGTCGCCAAATTTTTGATTTTTTTTTTTTTTTTTTTGCTACAAAACTTTTAGTCGCCAAATGTCTTTTCCCAATTTCTTTTTAGCTACTAATTGTTTACTTGCCAAAAACATGATATTATGTTTTATTGCAAAATTATAATTTCTCCACAATCTGTCCATATTTGATGCAACCTGTAATACGTATATAAACAAAATGATACATACTATCAATCATTCCACTTTTTTTTTTTTTTTGATCGGCAAAATAAAAGCTTTATTGATGAAAAACATAACAAGAATGATAAGATACATCAATAAAGAAGAGGGTGCAAAAAGCATCACAGTGAAACATTTGGATCCCAACTAGGTTGGCACCTAAACGCACACCCAATCATCTGCTAGCACACACTCGAGGCTCCAAGATGGTGAGAAACCAACAAACAGAGCAGAACAAAACAAGACAAAAACAAAAAGACAACATCCATACACTAGCAGTCCATCCCCAGCCACTATCATCTCAGCTAACCCTGCTCACCTTAACAAATCAGAAACCATCAACACAAAACAGCTCAGAACAGTTAAGAATATCCTCTTATTTGACGCCAATTGAAAATTAAATCATCAACGGAATAAGGAAGATCTTTAGTAGATCCTTTCAGCCAAAGTACTGCTCTAATTTTGATATTTTCACTCAAGCCAGAGAGACTAGGTTGAGCCTCTGCAAAGACACATTCATTCCTAAGTTTCCAAAGCGACCAAAGAACAATAAGGGGGATGGCTCTCCAAATTAACCTATCAAAATTTTTGAGCTTGACAGTCATCCACCATTGGAGGAGATCATCCACTGATCCTTGAATGCACCAAGAGAACCCCCACTCATTAATTATAGATGACCAAATCAACCAAGAAAATGGGCAATGAAGCAAGATGTGGACAGCAGATTCAGGTTCAGAACGACAAAATGGGCAGATGAGAGAGGCAGAAGCATCTAAGATGCCAATTCTGTGCATAAACACTGCTGTCTTGATTTTATTTTTCCAGGCCAGCCAAGTAAAGAATGAAACCTTAGGGGGGACAGCCCCATTCCAAATATGCTTGCAAATGTTAAAATGAGGCCCTAGGATAGAGTTAGAGGCAGAGTAGAGAAAGGACACGGAAAATACACCAGGACTTGCAGATGCATAAGCCTAAATAAGATGATCAGCCCTGCCAATTGACAAAGATGGAGCTGAAGATAGTAGACCAAGTAAGTTAGCTTCTTCTTCCAATTCCTAACTGAAGAGCACTCTCCTAATAGGAAAATTCCAATTGTTTGGGCTAGATTTTCTTGCCATGAATTGTTGTAGAGAACCTTCTTTATCTGTTGAAAGATTAAAGAGAAGGGGAAAAGTAGACTTGAGACAAGAGCTGCCACACCATCTGTCATGCCAAAATTTAATCCTACTCCCATCCCCCACTTGGATTTGGCAGTTATCTATATAGAAATTGTAAATATTTGTGCTATGAATCCCAATAGATAATATGTCCTTCCAAACTCTAGAATGTTTGTAGGAGGGCTTTAGAGGTGGATGCCAACTAGCCTCATCAATATTGTATTTGCTACATATAGTATACGAAATAGAGGATTTCACTAAGTCGATTCTTAGGAAATCTCGAATCAAACCATTTGAAGTAATACATTCTCGAAGAGCCGTATATTCTTCGTGCTGATCAACAATGATTACAATATCGGGTAACCCTGTCATATATTTAATCCCGCCCAGATATGTTTGCAAGTGAGATAATTGTCTTTTCAACATAGCTGCATCTCTTTTCGGAAGACGGTTGAGTCTGCCCATTTTTTGTTCCATTCTCAAGTCTCTGAACTTATGAAGTCTCGTTTCTGTAGTGAACCAATTCGTTAACATCCCGTAACACCGTATTCACACCACTCTCTCGAGATTCGTCCCATCTTCAATATTTCTTACATATATTATATTTGATTATCGCAGCTCCTTTATTTTTCTTGCATACTTCCTCGTGTCTTATTTTTTTCTCTGAACTTATCAGTCTTCTTTTCTATTTATTTTGTTGTTTCACCCTAACTTATATTAACGTATTATTCTCTTGTTTGTTTCCCCTAATTGCTTGCCTTTCAACGGGGACAACCCTTAAATCAACAGATTGCTTTTCTTACCCAACCGTGATAAAAAAGACGCACGCCAGCTTCAAATGTTTTTCATAAATTAGGCTCGTATAAGATCTCTGTAATACTAGAAAATTGATGTTCTTTTACGCTGTACTGCTCAGGCAGATGCGATATACCGCGGTGCCATTTGCACTATCCATAGAGAGAGTTTTACTCTCTTGAACGAATTTCAACCCTTAGACAAACGCGAGGAGGGGAAAGAGAGAGGAAGATTACCTTCTAGCACACTCAGAGGGCAGTTCCTATTTTCCCTTATTGTTGTTAGTGAATTCTCTTGCAGAAAGCGTACTTCAAGAGGTAATTAAATTCTCAGGCAATATACTATTAACTTTCTTACTAGATATTTCTGCTTTCTTTCCGCCTCTTTTCTATTCAGCAACAGTTCCTTGTGCACTTTGGTGCTATTTGCATTTCAGTCAATTTTATTGCAAGTTGCGACGACCATTTTGTCTTTGGAAGAACACATTCCTTTCATTACTTGGTGTCACTGGATTCTTCATCCTTTCCCCATTTCATTATTACTTTTATCTAGGCTTTAGCAACCTCTTTTTGCATCAAACATAAATAAACGCTCTTGGATCTGTAATTTTTCTTCTGCACCGCCGTGTTTTAAGAACTCGGCTGTTCTGCAAAATATATCCACAAGGGCCGTCGCTACTTTTTATCGTATTTACTACTCAGTTAATAAATGACACATTGGCTCGGTCTGTTTGAGTAATTCTCGCGATTTATAAAAAGAAAATTTTGTGATTGGTCAACTTCCCAGGGACTCTAGTCAGAACGGAGTACCTTAGGGTCATTTGGCAAAGTTCAGATCTAGAAGCCTTTCGCAGAACTGACGATATCCAAAGGAAATGCGGTGGTCTAGAAACCTCATTATATTCTGAAAATCTTTAACTGACATTGCGACGGATCAATTACGAGGTCGAGGCAAAGTTGTGCTAGATGTCTTCGAAAGAATCACATTATGCATCAATGGGCCACTTTGCACAATCATCATCTGGGCCGGGATAATCTCACAATTTTATGAACAACAGGTGGGATTATCT